GTTATATGAATAGTAATGTAAATATTAAACTTGACAAATATACCTATTATTATACTAATATCTATTTTACAAAATTCTCTAAGAAAATAGTAATTACCTTTGATCCAGGCAAAAAGTATACATCACGTGATTTCTCCATAACGCCATCCAGGTCATCAATAGTCTCAATGTTAACCGGTTTAATCAAAACCAATTTCCCCGTCCTTTTCGCCCATTTCTTTGCGATCGTGAGTTTCAGTCGATTTGAAAACTTCTTGCGTTTATTGAGTCTATACTCCGATAGCATACGAATCCGGGCTATCATTATGTGAAACATTTCCTCCATATCTGTGGCCACCAGTCCTTTGCCGGCGAAGTCCGCGATTTCGTTCACCAATACCTTAACCTTAGCCTTAACATTCATTTCCTTTTTCATTTCGCGTAATATTTTGTCATTAAATGTTTTGGGAATATTTCCGGACATTATAGTCATAATAAACTCCATCACCATGTCATCCGTTAACTGCTCATCGCAATAGTGTATATCGTTTATCAGATCAACGATAACCACCTTATCTGCCATTCCCTTCACCAATAATTTACCGCAAATGAGGGCAGTGTCCAAATAGCCCACCACATCGTACTTCCCTTTTGGCTCAATGTGTTTCAGTAGATTGAAATAATGATTGCCAACCTCTTTAAGAGTGGACAGTTGGCACACTTCTCGGGTCCAGTTTAGGCCAATCACCGGTCGGTTCAACTTTTGTGCCAACTCTTCAAACATTATAAAATTCAACGATAGGGTTGGCATCAGATATACCGGCCTTCCTTTCGTCACACTATTAAGCGCTACAATAGGATCGGTAGGTATAATGTACTTCTGTTTCAGCAGCATAGCCCTGCCCTTTTTAATCTCCTCCATGTGCTTTTGTACCTTACTCAAGTCACCATCCTGGTACTCTTTTAACATACCGATCGTAATACTCTTGATGTGATTGAGAGTAAACTTCATATTCCACTCTTTTTCCATTCCCTGTTGAAACTCTATGGCAAACATTGACTCCAACCCAATCTCACCCAGGGTTAGGTGATCGGGGGTGGAGTCGGGGTCGATGCCCAGTGCCCGCCATAACTCTGTGATCAGTCGCTTTTCCTTATCGCCCGATTCCTGTTGTTTGTCAGCTTTAATCTGTGTTAATAATTATCCAGGTTAGCCATCATGGACAATATGTGTCATAAATTAAATTATATAATATATTACCAGACAATGAGTTTAATAGTGTAAATATTAGAATTATAAAGTACGCTAAATATTAGTAGAGTATCAATATTGGAAACTATCATGTTAATACTTATAAGTTATAATGCTAATAAACACTACATTTACGAACACTACAGTTCGTATTTCGACTATATTTTATATATTGCAAGTCTATACTAATATAAATACTACTGTATTACTGTACATACAATAGATGTGACGATCGGTTGTCTAACTGACAATAATTTGTCCAAAACCTCGAAACACGAGTTGATTCGCTGTTTCTTATATGATGTGAGCGATAGAAACTGATCGGAATGTTCGAGGGCTCCCACATCACCGATGGGTCCCCACTGTATGGCCAGTCCGTGCAGTCCATCCCTGCGCCTCACTTCGCAAATGCGTTCACACATAGAGTTTCCAAACCCGTAGTTAGTCTGACCGGTACTTCCTTTACCACACGATACCGATGAAAATACGACAAAATAATCCAATTTGTAGTCCAATTTTCGGGTCAATTGATCCAAATTCGTGAATATCTTATGTTTGGTATCAATAGACGAACAAAACTTATCAAACGTTAACTTCTCTA